ATTGATGTTTCTGTCCCTCTCTTTCTCTTTCCCTTCCCCTCTGTCTAAAAATAAGTAAATAAAATCTTAAAAAAATACTGAAGACCTTATTATTGAAAATGCATACTCTCCAAGCAGGTAAAAAGATAGAACCTAAAAAGCTGAAATATTTATACATTTCAATTAAAATAAATTTTTAAAAATTGACTCTCTCTCCCATTTAGTAGAATTTTGCTCTGAGTTGACTAGGTACATGAGAACCTAAACAGAGTATTTTATTATTGAAAAATACTATGATCTAAGGAAAAGAATTAACTGAAGGTCTCACTTCAAATTTATTAACCATAAAATGTAACGCTGAAGATGATTGTAGCCAATTTTTTAAGAAAAATAAAAATGAGACCATATTGAAAAAATACATATTTTTAAAAAATCAGCAACACTATTTTAATAGAAAGGCTAAAAAAAAACTGATTAAAGTACATGAATATGTACTAAGAATGACTAGTCTATTTATGTTAGTGTTTATATGTTATGTTTAGACAATCACTGTAAAAAGATTTTTTTAATGTTACAAATGTTTTTTAGGAAAAAGTGTTTTGAAATAGTTTTTTAATAGAAATGTTATAGACCTATCAAAACAGAATAATTTGCCAATCAATAAATAATTAAAATATTATAATTTTAATTGTAATTTTCTGGCAATCCTTTTCCTTCTCCAAGTCATCCTAGTTTAGATGATAAAGAAATCCACTGTGTTTTTGAACAGAACTAATTCTATTAATGCCTTTATCTTCTTTAGTACGTAACTACAAAAAGCCAGTGATTAGGAAGGCATTTCTCACCATCTGGATTCTCTTATTCTCACAGAGCCATGTTCTTCCCTCATCCCTTCAACTGGGCCTCAGGAAATTCATGGTCAGGCACCAGGAAAATTTCTGTACCATCGGCTCTTTTTCTGAACACTGCTGCCTCTTAAGTCCTCTTAAGTGGTAGCTGATTTCTTTTCTACAACTCTCTGGGACCTAGAGGTGGGCCTTCCTGCATTTCATTCATTACCACTTGCATTCTATCGCTACACCCTCTCTCTAAAAACACAAAAACAAACAACCAAACAAAAAAACCAAGACACTGCCATCAGACCACCTATCTATTCTTAAAGAGAAATCCCTGTAGTTCCCTAAGGATTTTTAGCTCTTGGTTCATTGTTGTTTTCTCTCTAACACTATTCCTGTCACAGTTCTTACTGTTTCCAATATCCATATAGGTGAAACCTTCTGATACTCAGTCTTGTCCTCTGCCTCATTTCAGACTCCCATAGTCAGGGCCTAGGTTTTGTCTTCACGAATACAGCAAAAGCTTCATAATCTCAACTTCAATCATCCTAATCACTTATCTTTTCACCTGACACCCTTAATATCCTAACTCCAACAATATTTAAATTCTATTAAGATCTACAATCTACTGAAACTATCTCTTCACTATCTATCCCTTCAAATTCTCACATCCCTCCTAATCTGGCTCAGATTTCACAGTCTGTTACTAAGATCACTCCTCTGCATCATCCTCAAACTCCTTGGCCCTCTCTGATTTGTCATACTAACCAGACAAAATCCCAGCCCTGGTTAAATCCAACTCTCTGACCATTAATAAATTTGCACGAGCAGAACTAAATACAACTGGAGAAAAACATATAACTGGGTAATATGTCTCACTTTAAAATCATGATCACTAACCTGAAGTAGGTCTTTAATGCTGCCAAGCAATCCAACTATATTCCCTGGTTCATTCAATTTTCCCTCCCTTCTATCTATCTCATATCTACTCCTCTTTTTTCATACCTCCACCTCCTCCCCACTGTCAACTAATGACTTTATATCCTATTCACCAAGAAAAGAGAAGCAATCTATAGATATTGTCCACAGTTCTCCCCGTCCCATCTAGGTGCATGCTCCTTCCCTCCACATATAAATTTGACCATGCTCCTCCTACCTTTGGCCAATCTCTCCCTCTTGTGCACAATGTTAGCCCCTCACACCTAATCAGGACATCACTCCAGCGATGCTCCTCCTTTGTGCTATAAAATCAACTTATCCCTCTCTATCGGATCATCTCCATGCATATATATGATGTAATCTCTCTCACCTTGAAACAAAACAGAAATCTTCTCTGACTCCACATTTCTATCCAACTACCCTCATTCTTTGAGTGTCGTACTCACTAACTCCAGTTCCTCACTTTCATTCTCTTGAATCCACTACAACAAAGTTTTCATTCTTTTTTTTTTAATTGATTTGAGGGAGAGGGGAAGGTAGAGGGGAGGGAGAGAAGGAGCGGAGAGAGGGAGGGAGAGAAAGAGAGAGAGAGAGAGAGAGAGAGAGAGAGAGGAGGAGAGGAGGAGAGAAAGAGAGCGAAACATCAATTTTGTTGTTCCACGTATTTAAGCATTCATTGGCTGCTGCTTGCATGTGCCCTGACTGGGTGTACAGGACGATGCTCTAACCAACTGAGCAACTTAGCCAGGTCAAGGTTTTCATTCTTACCATTCCATTAAAAAAAAAAACACCTCAGGATCATCCATGGTCTCCCCATCAATAAAGATAATGGTGAATTCTTAGTCCTCAATTTGACCCCCTAGTAGCATTTGACCTAGTTTATTATTTCCTCCACAAAATGCTTACTTCATTTGGCTTCTAAACATCATATATCTTGTTCTTCTATTTTTCTAGCCATCCCTTCCTATTTTCCTTAACTGGACCCTCCTCTTCTAACTTGACCTTTAAATATTTTGCATTGTTCCAGGGCTTAACCCTTGAATCTTTTTTAACTACATTCATTCTCTCCCTAGGTAATTTCATCTAAATTTATAGCATTAAATATCATTTCTATATTAACAACTCCCACATTTAGATTTCCAAGCAAGACCTCAATCCTGAATTTCAGGAGGCATCAGCTAAGGATACAGATTTCCATCTCTAGTTCACATTTCTTCTGTGCTTTAAACTCATTTATTCCGCTATGTCTCTAGCTGAATATTTCAAAGAAATCCTACACTAACCATGTCCAAAAGCAAACACATAATGTCCACCTCCATTCTACTTCTGAAATATGCTCCTAAGCTTTTTGAACATCTGTGAATGACACTATCACCTCTTCAAATATAACATCCAGAATGACAGATGTTATCCTAGATACCTCCCTGTCCTTCATCCCTACTATCTGATCCTGTCAGTTTTACCTTTTAAATGTTCCCTGAATGTATTTTCTTTTCTGCATACCCATGTCAACTCTAGTCTGAGCTTCAATCAACCAGACTAATACAGATACCTTCTAAGAGTCTCTCTGCAACCACTCCTGCTCCTTTTCCTCCATGAATCTTCTCAGAGTCAGATTATATCTCCTCTCTGCTTCAAATCTTTAATTACCTCCTACTACTTTTATTATGAAATCAAGATTCCCTAATGAAGCTCAAAAGGCCTTGGATAGGATGTCTACTGCCTACCTTCACAAAGTTATCTCTTGTCAATCTGCACCACTGCCTACATTTTAGATCACTGGCCTTCTTTCAGTTCCTTGAGCTTACCACAGTCCCTACTCCCACTGGGCCCTTGCACATGCTGTTCCCTCTTTTTGAATGCCAATACCATCACCCCACTGCGACCACCTATCTCTTTATACTTCTTAATGACTACTCAGTCTTCAGATCTCATCTCGAAAAAGCCTTCCTCAGAAAAGCCTTCCCTGCCTTTTCAAACTAGAGCAACTTCTCCTCACGTAGGTTCATCATTTAATATTTCTAAGTGCAATTTTAAATGTACATTTATTTTTGTAACTAATTTTGTGATTAATTTGTGCCCAATGTTAAACTAAAAAGACCTTAAAGGAAGGAAAAGACTGTACTTTGTTTACACGATTGTATCTCTAGCCCTCAGTGGAACAGACATGCAAATATTTTTTTCAATGAAAAAAATCAACACAGAAGTGACATGGGAAGCCACACAATTGGACAGTCCTACATAGGAACGGGGGATTAGAAAGATAAGAGACCTGAATAACCCTAGGAAAATATCACCATAGAAACAAGCAGGGGAAATAAATTAGGGGAAAGAAGCCATCTGAAAGTTAAAAATAACAAAAGAAAAAGGACCACGAAACTCAAGGGAGGATAAAATATGAAAAAGGCAGGAAGGGACACTGAATGTGACAAATAGGCACCTAGCAATCTGAAAATAACTAATAATGTGAGATGCAGCGAGGAAGTGAACAAAGGTAAAATATAGGGGAAAGTGCACATCTTTCCAACTCCCCTGGAAGATTTCTGCACTCGTTAGCTTTTTTGATTTCCTTAAACTACCGTAACAGTTCCTATATAAGAATAAATGTAAGGAAAATATATGTGCCATTTTATATTTCAACCTTATTTCTCTATGTTTCTACAAGTTGTTTTAGGCTTACAGAACATAAGAATAAATGTTCTAATATTTACACCTGAAACTTTTTTTTTTTTTTTGCTTCTCAAGGTACTTTACCTCCCAGAATCATCAAAACAGACATCTGTGTGTCCCTCTGTATGTCCGTATCTCATCGGCTTCTGTGTCGCAGGCATCTTTTCCTTCACCTACCTGAAAATGTTTTATAAAAGCATTAGTTTCCCCCCTTTCTTCATAGTATTAAATATCTCCCCCGGGCATGCTCTCGACAGCCTCTTTCCCCCACCCAAGCGGCACAGGCAGAAAAAAAATGGAGGGGCTGTTAGATAATAAGCCGGGAAGAGGAAACTCCTCTCCGGCACGGCTACCGAGAGAGAAGACTCACCGAGATGCCTGAGCCTCCGCAACTGGAGAAAGGACAGGCAAGCGCCAGCGCTGGGACGATTCCCGCGCTCAATCGCGCTCGCCACACTGCGCTTGCGCCAGCCCGCCCACGCCCAGCGCTGGTCCGAGCCCAGGTCGCGGGATGGTGACGTCACTGCTCGCCGAACGCTAGGGAAAAAAGCCGGTTGCTGAGGGAGTGAGGAAAGAAAGGGAGGGATCCGAGCACGGAAGTGGTGGTAGCGTCTGGGGAGCAAGTGGAGGCGGTGACCGCGACGTCTCACAAGGGAACTCTGCGCCGAGCGGTGGGAACTTGCAGAAAGGCAAGCGCCTTATAGGACCTACATGAGGTGCAGGAGTGGCTGGGCCTCACTCCTCCACCTCAGCGAGCACCCAGACTGATGGCGATAGTGATGGCGGCAGTTACTTGGACAGCGCCAGTTAAACTGCGCTCGGAGAGGTGAGTGGGGGAAGGGTAGTTGCTGCTTGCCTACCAGTAGGGGTCCGCTCCTTACCTTTCAGGTTCTCTTCATATACTACAGTATCCGCGACCCTGAACGGGTCCAGCACCTTCTTGGCGCCTGGCTGGAGAATGTGATCGTTGGGCACCTTCTCTAGGGAAGAGAAAAGCGAGACCCTTTTCGAGCCTTTAATCTCGGCATCCTTCACGCCCTCACCTTGTCATTTTTATAGAAATAAAAAGGAAGGAAGACTTAATCTTAGTTTGCGATCCCTGGAGTTATGGCATGTACATTAACACGTAATCTTGGAGACTCTACATATATCCTTTAAGAAGAAAGTAACTTTGGAAGTTTCTGTTCAGACCCCACTTCAAGTTCACTGAAGTGCATATTTGGATTTAAAAGACGAGTTAGAACTAAAGTGTATTGTTGAATACTTCGTTCGGTCCATGCAATATGTGCTTAGGTCTTGGCCATTAAGTTTATGTTTTGCTTTTGTCTTAACGCTCTCCTTGTTCGGAAATCTGTCTCTGACGAAAACCTTCACAAAGATTGTGTGTGTGTGTGTGTGTTACCCACCACTTAGTCTCAGTCATACCTTGTTTATGGCATAAATGAGACGTTTTTCTGTTGTAGAGATTGCCCGCATTGTTTTTCAATCTCGTTCCATTTCGAAAGGTTGCAAACACACGGCACATAGTTAAGACAAGTCGTGGTATTGTTCTTACCGTGGTGGCATAGTGTAAAGGGTGGTTTTGAGTACTGGGCTCAAATAGGCTTGCTAGACACTGAGGTTTGGTATATGAATGAAGAGGAAGAGTGATTGGCTGGAAAAGAATTTGGGATTTGTGGGAAAATTACCAATCTATTGTTGAATTCCCTCTAGAGGGAAAGATACCTGAGACAGTTCTTGAGTGACAATGTTATTTGGCGATCTCGTTTCTTCGATAGACTGATCTGTGAATTTTTTATCCAAGTAAATATCATTGGTTAGACTGTAGGGTTCAAGCTGAACTCTGACATTGTTCATCTCTATAATGAATAAATCTTGATGAGATTTCAGTGTGTTACTATTCAGAACTCAGCATAAGAATTTGCAGATTGGAACAAGAGTTATAGCTATAAAATGCCCTAACTATAATATCTATAATACCATTTGACTTTAAAATTATGAAGGGTGCTCACACATCTGTACTTTCACTTTGCTTAGGTTAAGGAAAATTTTCCTTTACAAATTTCACATGTCTGGAAAGAGCCTTTAGAGTCAAACAGCCCTTTTAACTCTGACAGTTACTCGTTGTGTGACCCTCAATATGCTCATCTACTTTTTCAGAATGTCAGATTCCTCATCTCTAAAATGTAGATGATACCTACATCCATTGAATTGCTAAAGTATAGTCTATGGCCATACCACCTTGAACGCGCCCAATCTCGTCTGAGTTGCTAAAGTATATAGGAGATATTCATGGATGTATAAAACTAATTAATGTCTCGTGTTATTAACAGGGTGCTTTGGGTGGACATTTAGTGGTTTCATTTAAAATGAAGTCAGTTTAAATCATTATCCAGTGAATTTTCAAATATTAAAAGATGGAATCTTTTTGCTACCATGTTTTCACAATTTCATTTGTTTCAAATACTTGCAAATTTTAACATCTTCAGTGAATTTATGGTCGTCTTGAGGAAAACAGACATTCAGATAAAATGTACACAGTGATAGTGCAACAATAAAATATGTGTAATTTACATGTTAGCAAAAACTGCTTAAATGTTAAAGATCACATAGCTCTTTAAAAAGAAACCCATGACAGTCACTGATGTGATTGTCAAAATTTTCCACATGGGCAGACAGTGCTTGTTGTAAGGAAGTCAGAAGTCGGTAGCTGACTGAATTCACTGAAAATAATGCTAAGGTCACAGATTCAATTGCAGTGAAGTAAGTTAGCTTTGCGCTGTTGTGGCCACTTAGAGTATCCTTCGGCTCACAAATACTGTTGATTTCAAGAGCAGTAGGGTGAGAAAACATGAATATGTTAACCATTCCACTGGTATTAAATGTACATAAAAAATAATTTCATATAATGTTAGAGAGTCAGTTTATCCAAGAGGCATATCAGTGTTGCCTTATAGAAGGAGTTTTAAAAATACCTTTTCAATAAAATGTATTTTATATAAAAATTGTTAATCCTGTGAAAGATAACACTGGACGAGAGTGTAACAATAACAGGAGAACACAGTATGGAATAATAACATTGAAGTTTAGAAATTTGAAGATTTTTGTATGTCTAAAAAGTATCCTGAAACTCATCCACCTTTTAAATTTATTTTTGGAGTAAATAGTATTTGCACCTGTATAAACCTCCCAGGGTGTAAAAGGGAACAGTCTTGTGTTATATTAACACTGGATCCAACATAGATATAGCAACTATTTTATAGGTGAAAAAAACTGAGACTCAGAAAGGTTGTAATTTGTCCAAGGTCACAGTCCTACCAAATGTCAGAGCTACAAATAGAACCCAGGTCTTTTACCTTCTAATCAAAAGTAGTCTTACCACACTGTCTCTCCAATTTATAACTGTTGCTTTAAAAGTTAGAAGTTAGTGAAACGTATCCAGATATTATGGCAATTTTATTTAAGTCTAGAGTTACCTTATACTAGTTTGTAGGTAAAACTTGTCCCCAAGCTTAAACGTAAGCATATGTAATTATTAGAAAGCAATGAAAAGAATAATCTATAATCAGTTTTAAAAAATTATTTGCCTACTATTTCTGTTGAAATTATTTATTTACTTAGAGAGCTTGCAAAAACTACAAAACTTTTATAACTAAAGTTTGGTTATATACATCCATATTATTTTCAAAGAATTTAAAATGTTAAGACTTTTTTAAAACAGCATGTTCAATATCAGGAGTAATTTAAAGTGCTTTATGACATTCCAGAAATACTAAAGCCTCCTAGCCTCAGTTTTATGGGTATGTTTTTGTGCAGATTTTCTAGCCTTATGTGTAAGTAGACTTTGTTTCATCTCTTTCCTTTTAAATCTTAATTTTACTACTTTACCACCTTTCATTTTTAGAAATTAGCTTCTACATGAAAAGTTGAGTAATACTAGAAAGCAACCTGTACGCATTTTCATTAAGCTCAATGTATGCTTTCTTTTGTACATTGTAATCCTGGCAGTAAAAACATGAGACAGCTGGCATTATCCAGATATTACAAAGGGAATACTGAAGCTAAAGATTTTTAAAATTAGTTGACTAGTAAGTGACAGAGTCTTAATCTTAGCCCATGTTTGATGATTTAGCTACTCACGCTATTTCACCTGTACCATGCTTCCTTTGAAATATGGTAGAGTGAAAAACTGTAGATTATTATTTTTATGGAGCTTTAAAACTTTAAAATTTTCTCTTTAGGCTAAATTGCTCTTACAGGGAAAAAAAAGACTGCAAGGAAACAAGCCACAATGTCTAAATTGACTGCTTAATTGAATTACAGTCGACCTTTTAACAACTCTGGAGTTAGGGGCCATGATCCCCTGCCCCCACATGCAGTTGAAAATCTGAATATGACTTTTAACTTCTCCAAAACTTAACTAATAGCCTGCTGTTGACTGTAAGCCTCGCTATTAACACATATTATATTACTAAAATTCAGCAGCACACCAAAAAATATTTTTGTTTTGCTGGTCTGAGAAAAAATAGGTATAATTTTGATTCACTCACACTAGATGGCTATTGTATTGGATGTTGTCGTTTTTTTAATTTGACAATCTAAGGGAAAAGAGATCAATACCCCTGACTAAATAGTCAGGTATTGCATGTTTTAAATACTCTTGCAGCACATCAGTTGAAAATCACTGCTCTATATTAACTTCCTTCAGTTTCAGGTTACTAGACATTGCTCTTTGTCTTTAGTTAGCATGCTCAGGAAATGTACACTCATTTTAATATTAGCCCATGTTAATGTTTCCCAAAAACTTATTCTCAAAAAAAGATTTGTCATAAGTTAAATATTGGAAACTATGGCTTAAGCAGATTTCTTAGCTAAAGCACCTCTTGGAACCTTTTGCTAGATATGCAGTGTAATCTTTCAAAGGAAAAGCATTTCCCAAACTTGTTTGATAAAGAAACTCTTATTTCTCTAGAAAATGTATTGACATCTTTTAGTACTAGTATCTACAAGACTACACATTGGGAAGTAGTGACATAAGCAAATTATTATTAGGAAAGTAAGTGGAGAAAGTGGGATAAGAAGGTATAATAGTACTAATCAATTACTCCTTTTTTTTTCCTTTTTCTTTTTTTTTTAAATCTAGTTAAGTCCCAGGCTTGGTAGCATGAAAAAAGGAGAAACAGTTCACCCTTGTACAACATGGGTTTGAACTGCATGGGTCCACATACATAGATTTTTTTTCAATAAATATATTGGAAAAATTTTTGGAGATTTGTAACAGTTTGAAAAAACATGAACCATGTAGGCTAGAAAAATCAAAAAATTAAGGAAAAGTTAGGGATGTTATAAATGCATAAAATATATGTAGATACTTAGTCTATTTTAACATTTACTACCGTAAAATATACACAAATCAATTATAAAAAGTTAAAACTAATTAAAACTTACACATTTATAGAGCATACATATTGCCATTCACAGTGGAGAAAAATGTAAACAAAGATGCAATATAAGCCGTAACTGCATAAAATTAACTATAGTACATACTGTACTACTGTAACAATTTCATGGTCACTTCCTGTTGCTATGAGCTCAAGAATTGAGCTGCAGTGAGCCCAATTATTGTGAATATCTGCTTAAAAGGCTGTGTGACGTTCATCATCTCTTTGTGAGCAGTTTGTCTCCCCAGTAAATTGAATTATCACAGTAAAAAGTAATCTCTCATGATTCTCACGTATTTTTCATCATATTTAGTGCAATACCATAAACCTTGAATAACAACATTGGGACCCATATAAAGTGCCACTAGTGATCCTGGAAGTGCTC